AAATCAAAACAACACTGATTCTGTATTAGTCCAGTAGTTATGGCTATCATTAAAAACTTAGAAAACAACAATGCCGGCAAGGATGTAGGGAAAAGGAAGTTTTCTATACGGTGAGTGAAAATGTAAACTGGTACAACCACTATGAAAATCAGTACGGAAATTTCTAAAAAAAGTATAACTACAAATTCACTTGACTCAGCTATCCAGCTAAGTATCTTCCTGAAAATAACATATTAGAGCAATATATACATATTAATGTTTACCACAGTACAATTCACAGTATCTAAATTATGGAAGCAGCCTTTATGTGCACCAACAGATGAATAAAGAAAATGTGATACACACAATGATGTACAACTTAACCTCAAAAAATAAATTTAGGGGCCGAGGAGATGGCTCAGTGGAATATGCACTTTCCTGGCAAGCACAAAGGCCTGAGTTCAATCCCCGGTTCTGCCAAAAAAATAAATAAATAAATAAATTTAAATATTCATAGGAAAATGGATGAATCTTGATAACAAAATGCTAAGTGAAATAAATTAGATATAGAAGGTTAAATACATTTAATCTCTTATATAAAAAATCTAAAATATAATTAAAGAACAAAGTAAAAGAGCGATAGAAAACAGAGAGACAGACTTTCAGAGTTGGGAAGGTCACCTGGGGAAGGTGAGTGGAATGGGGACAGGGTAAGAGTAGTAAAAATTATCAAGATGTGAATAAGTGTACATACAGACAAATACATATATATCCTAAAATCAAAACCAGCACCCCAAGATGAATGTATTACAGTATAAATATACAGTAATAGTAAAATAGATGTAGAGCTAAAACCTTCAAGAATTTGATAAAAGACATAAAATGTGCCAGTTTAGCAGACCCCACCCAGGATAAATTCAAAGAAATCCGTGTTTTAGATTAAAACCTGCTGAAAATTTTAAAGGCAAAGAAACTATGACATTTTCTTTACAGAAGGACTATTTAACTATGGTTAATTATGCATCAGAAACCATGAAGACCAGAAGAAAACAGAACAAGAAGTTTAAAGTGATAAAATAAATGGCAAATGGGATTTCTATTTCTGGCAAAAATGTCTTTCGTAATTTTAATGTTCTTTAGGATTTAGAATTAATCCACTGCCAGTGAAGACATCTAAGATACTCATTGTCAGAAGACCTATTCTCAATCAATTGCTAAAGGGGACCCTTTAGAGAGAAAGGACACACTGGAATGACATGCTGGATATGAGAAAAGGAAAGGCAGCAGAAATGAAATGAGTAAATATGATATACTATTCTTCATTTTTCAGAGTATGTTTGAAGGTAAAAAAGCAAGCACACAATGAAAGGTGCAGGAAGGGATAAAAGGTTTATATGGTGGTAAAAGATAGACATGTCATTTGGTGGTAATTTACAGATCAGGTCTACTGTAAACAGAAAAGGATGCATATTATAATTCTTATGAGTAACCACTAAAAACACTCAGAAAAGTAACAAGTAAAGTAAAACACTACAAAATGTTCAAATAAAAGTAACAAAGTAAAACACTACAAAATGTTCAAATAAACTGGCAAGAAAGTGAAAGCAGAGGAATAAAAATCAGGAAACTAAAAAATATGGTGAATCTAAAATGAAAACAATCACATGAAATATAAATATCTAAACACACTAATTAAAATTCTGATTGTTGGAAAGGATTTTTATTTTACTAAAACAACACAATATGAGAGTAACAATAGTTAATAAATGGTGTATTGTTATCTTCAAAGTATTACTCAGAATATAAGACACGGACAAAAAAGTCTTAAACATCAAAACAGAACTTTTCAATGAACTAAGAGAAATTAGTAGTATAAATGAAACAATATACAGGATACAGTAAAACCTTAGATAGCAAGTAACTTGTTTTATGAATGTTCTGCAAGACAATCAACATTTCTAATAAATTTTGACTTGATAAATGAGCAATATCATGCAACAGAAGTAGTTCATGTTCACATGATCACAACTGAGCTAATGCTCCTCCACCCAACCTGCTCCAGGATTTTAGGTGATTGGCTCCCAACAGCAAGAGGATATGGAGATCTCGTCTGCAGAGGAGGTGAAAACTCCAGAGGAATCCCTCATTTCAAATGAGATTAGGAAGAGGTGTAAAATATGGGAAACTGGAAAATTTTAAGAACCACCCAATTAAGGGTGTAGCAGTGCAAGCAGTAAATCTGTTTAATGTCAATGCAATGTCAGATTTCCATGAACTCCTCAAAATTTCACAGAATTTTTGTAAACATGTGGACTAAGTTCAACAGATCTACTGTACATTTTAGTGACAATAATCAACAATAACAGACTGTATACTTGAAAACTGGTAAAAAATAAACCCTAAGTATTCCTACCACAAAAAAGCATGTGAGACTAGTGCCTAAGTAGCCTGATTAGCCACAATCTATACATATAAAATAAATCAATGGATCGACCTATCCTTGTCATTTAAAAACATTCCATAGGCACCAAGGAGATGGCTCAGTAGAATACGCGCTTCCCTGGCAAGTGCAAGAGCCTGGGTTCAATCCCCGGTTCTGCCAAAAAAATAAA